AAACCTGTCATGGAAGACACAGTATTTACTCACTAACCCTGTTATGGAAGACACAGTATTTACTCACTAACCCTGACACGGAAGACACAGTATTTACTCACTAACCCTTTCATGGAATACACAGTATTTATTCACTAACCCTGTCATGGAAGACACAATATTTACTCACTAAACCTGTCGTGGAAGACACAGTATTTACTCACTAACTCTGTCTTGGAAGGCAGAGTATTTACTCACTAAACCTGTCATGGAAGACACAGTATTTACTCACTAACCCTGTCGTGGAAGACACAGTATTTACTCACTAACCCTGTCGTGGAAGACACAGTATTTACTCACTAACCTTGTCGTGAAAGACACAAAACTTACTCACTAACCCTGTGGTGGAAGACACAGTATTTACTCACTAACCCTGTCGTGGAAGACACAGTATTTACTCACTAACCCTGTCATGGAAGACACAATATTTACTCACTAACCCTGTCATGGAAGACAAAGTATTTACTCACTAACCCTGTCGTCACTGGATTGTTTGCAATATTTTGACATGTTTTCTATAATGATAATTAGACATGGAGGACACATTATTTACTCACTAACCCTGTCGTGGAAGACACAGTATTTACTCACTAACCCTGTCGTGGAAGACACAGTATTTACTCACTAACCCTGTCGTGGAAGACACAGTATTTTCTCACTAACCCTGTCATGGAAGACACAGTATTTACTCACTAACCCTGTCATGGAAGACACAGTATTTACTCACTAACCCTGTCATGGAAGACAGTATTTACTCACTAACCCTGTCATGGAAGACACAGTATTTACTCACTAACCCTGTCATGGAAGACACAGTATTCACTAACTCACCCTGTCGTGGAAGACAAAGTATTTTATCACTAACCCTGTCATGGAAGAAAAAGTATTTACTCACTAACCCTGTCATGGAAGACAGTATTTACTCACTAACCCTGTCATGGAAGACACAGTATTTACTCACTAACCCTGTCGTGGAAGACACAGTATTTACTCACTAACCCTGTCATGGAAGACACAATATTTAATCACTAACCCTGTCGTGGAAGACACAATATTTACTCACTAACCCTGTCATGGAAGACACAGTATTTACTCACTAACCCTGTCACGGAAGACACAGTATTTACTCACTAACCCTGTCGTGGAAGACACAGTATTTACTCACTAACCCTGTCATGGAAGACACAGTATTTACTCACTAACCCTGTCGTGGAAGACACAGTGTTTACTCACTAACCCTTTCGTGGAAGACACAGTATTTACTCACTAACCCTGTCGTGGAAGACACAGTATTTACTCACTAACCCTGTCATTGAAGACACAATATTTACTCAATAACCCTGTCGTGGAAGACACAGTATTTATTTACTAACCCTGTCGTGGAAGACACAGTATTAACTCAATAACCCTGTCATTGAAGACACAATATTTACTCACTAACCCTGTCGTGGAAGACACATTATTTACTCACTAACCTTGTCGTGAAAGACACAATACTTACTCACTAACCTTGTGGTGGAAGACACAGTATTTACTCAATAACCCTGTCGTGGGAGACACAGTATTTACTCACTAACCCTGTCATGGAAGACACAATATTTACTCACTAACCCTGTCGTGGAAGACAGAGTATTTACTCACTAACCCTGTCGTCACTGGATTGTTTGCAATATTTTGACATGTTTTCTATAATGATAATTAGACATGGAAGACACATTATTTACTGACTAACCCTGTCGTGGAAGACACAGTATTTACTCACTAACTCTGTCTTGGAAGACACAGTATTTACTCACTAACCCTGTCATGGAAGACACAGTATTTACTCACTAACCCTGTCATGGAAGACACAGTATTTACTCACTAACCCTGTCATGGAAGACACAGTATTTACTCACTAACCCTGTCATAGAAGACACAGTCTTTACTCACTAACCGTGTCGTCACTGGTTTGTTTGTAATATTTTGACATGTTTTCTATAATGATAATTAGACATGGAAGAGACAGTATTTACTCACTAACCCCGTCGTGGAAGACAAAATATTTACTCACTAACCCTGTCGTGGAAGACACAGTATTTAATCACTAACCCTGTCATGAAAGACACAATATTTACTCACTAACCCTGTCGTGGAAGACAGAGTATTTACTCACTAACCCTGTCGTCACTGGATTGTTTGCAATATTTTGACATGTTTTCTATAATGATAATTAGACATGGAAGACACATTATTTACTGACTAACCCTGTCGTGGAAGACACAGTATTTACTCACTAACTCTGTCTTGGAAGACACAGTATTTACTCACTAACCCTGTCATGGAAGACACAGTATTTACTCACTAACCCTGTCATGGAAGACACAGTATTTACTCACTAACCCTGTCATGGAAGACACAGTATTTACTCACTAACCCTGTCATAGAAGACACAGTCTTTACTCACTAACCGTGTCGTCACTGGTTTGTTTGTAATATTTTGACATGTTTTCTATAATGATAATTAGACATGGAAGAGACAGTATTTACTCACTAACCCCGTCGTGGAAGACAAAATATTTACTCACTAACCCTGTCGTGGAAGACACAGTATTTACTCACTAACCCTGTCATGGAAGACACAATATTTACTCACTAACCCTGTCATGGAAGACACAGTATTTACTCACTAACCCTGTCATGGAAGACACAGTATTTACTCACTAACCCTGACACGGAAGACACAGTATTTACTCACTAACGCTGTCGTGGAAGACACATTATTTACTCACTAACCCTGTCATGGAAGACACAGTATTTACTCACTAACCCTGTCATGGAAGACACACTATTTCCTCACTAACCCTGTCGTGGAAGACACAGTATTTACTCACTAACCCTGTCATGGAAGACACAGTATTTATTCAGTAACCCTGTCGTGGTAGACACAGTATTTACTCACTAACCCTGTCGTGGAAGACACAGTATTCACTCACTAACCCTGTCATGGAAGACACAGTATTTACTCACTAACCCTGTTATGGAAGACACAGTATTTACTCACTAACCCTGACACGGAAGACACAGTATTTACTCATTAACCCTTTCATGGAAGACACAGTATTTACTCACTAACCCTGACACGGAAGACACAGTATTTACTCACTAACCCTGTCATGGAAGACAGAGTATTTACTCACTAACCCTGTCATGGAAGACACAATATTTCCTCACTGACCCTGTCATGGAAGACACAGTATTTACTCACTAACCCTGTCATGGAAGACACAGTATTTATTCACTAACCCTTTCGTGGAAGACACAGTATTTAATCACTAACCCTGTCGTGGAAGACACAGTATTCACTCACTAAACCTGTCATGGAAGACACAGTATTTACTCACTAACCCTGTTATGGAAGACACAGTATTTACTCACTAACCCTGACACGGAAGACACAGTATTTACTCACTAACCCTTTCATGGAATACACAGTATTTATTCACTAACCCTGTCATGGAAGACACAATATTTACTCACTAAACCTGTCGTGGAAGGCACAGTATTTACTCACTAACCCTGTCATGGAAGACACAGTATTTACTCACTAACCCTGTCGTGGAAGACACAGTATTTACTCACTAACCCTGTCGTGGAAGACACAGTATTTACTCACTAACCTTGTCGTGAAAGACACAAAACTTACTCACTAACCCTGTGGTGGAAGACACAGTATTTACTCACTAACCCTGTCGTGGAAGACACAGTATTTACTCACTAACCCTGTCATGGAAGACACAATATTTACTCACTAACCCTGTCATGGAAGACAAAGTATTTACTCACTAACCCTGTCGTCACTGGATTGTTTGCAATATTTTGACATGTTTTCTATAATGATAATTAGACATGGAAGACACATTATTTACTCACTAACCCTGTCGTGGAAGACACAGTATTTACTCACTAACCCTGTCGTGGAAGACACAGTATTTACTCACTAACCCTGTCGTGGAAGACACAGTATTTTCTCACTAACCCTGTCATGGAAGACACAGTATTTACTCACTAACCCTGTCATGGAAGACACAGTATTTACTCACTAACCCTGTCATGGAAGACAGTATTTACTCACTAACCCTGTCATGGAAGACACAGTATTTACTCACTAACCCTGTCATGGAAGACACAGTATTCACTAACTCACCCTGTCGTGGAAGACAAAGTATTTTATCACTAACCCTGTCATGGAAGAAAAAGTATTTACTCACTAACCCTGTCATGGAAGACAGTATTTACTCACTAACCCTGTCATGGAAGACACAGTATTTACTCACTAACCCTGTCATGGAAGACACAGTATTTACTCACTAACCCTGTCGTCACTGGATTGTTTGCACTATTTTGACATGTTTTCTATAATGATAATTAGACATGGAAGACACAATATTTACTCACTAACCCTGTCGTGGAAGACACAGTATTTACTCAATAACCCTGTTGTGGAAGACAGTATTTACTCACTAACCGTGTCATGGAAGACACAGTATTTACTCACTAACCCTGTCGTCACTGGATTGTTTGCAATATTTTGACATGTTTTCTATAATGATAATTAGACATGGAAGACACAGTATTTACTCACTAATTCTGTCGTCACTGCATTGTTTGCAATATGTTGACATGTTTTCTATAATGATAATTAGACATGGATGACACAGTATTTACTCACTAATTCTGTCGTCATCGCATTGTTTGCTATATGTTGACATGTTTTCTATAATGATAATTAGACATGGAAGACACAGTATTTACTCACTAACCCTGTCGTGGAAGACACAATATTTACTCACTAACCCTTTCGTGGAAGACACAGTATTTACTCACTAACCCTGTCATGGACGACACAGTATTTACTCACTAACCCTGTCGTCACTGGATTGTTTGCAATATGTTGACATGTTTTCTATAATGATAATTAGACATGGAAGACGAAAAATTACAAAGACCCCGAGATTCTGTCTGACGAGGTTTCTGACTACTTCCGGGGGACAGAGACGTCATCTGTGAGGATCCTGGACGTCGGGGCAGGCACCGGCATGGTTGCCGAGCAGGTAGGTGCAGACATTGTGTACACAAATACATCGAGAACGACAAAAACCTTTTCCATATAAAAAAGAAAAGCATTAAGCAGAGTCTATTGTACGATTCCGACTATATCATATGCATGTGTTTTTGAATCACTATCGAATGGTGACACCAGGTGACGCGAAAAGGTCACCTGGTAAAAAAGTGAGCATATCCTGCCTCACTGGTGGCATATGTCACCAACACATGCAAAGTCAAGTCAATTGGTAACCTGAGAAAAACACGGGAACATATGGACATAAGTCAAAATAGGGAATTGCATCGGACATATTGTCTCTGATGAGTCAAATGTAATGTCTATCATGCTGCAGTGTTTCTTCAATAACCAGGAGACAACCTGCTAACTTCCCACTTCGTTTATTTATCAGACGACAAGTGACAATTGGTAGCCGAGCCCGAGCACGCACGTGCGTTGCATAACGATGTTTTCCAAAACGCTAATAATATTACATGAACGACCTCCGTTTGCTAACATAATGTATCAAACAAAACCTAATATTTAACACATACAACTTTTTGAAAGCTTTACTGAGGCTTTGAACACATTCCACTGGAACTTTCAACGCTTTCACATTCATTTGTAATACGGCGTGTCAGGTTTATGTGTCAGGTTTATGTGTCAGGTTTATGTGTCAGGTTTATGTGGGAGGGAGATCTTAGACGTAAATTGGTACGAAACTGGGGCTCGAAAAAGGGACTGCTTTTGGGTCCCCATTCGACCACTCCTCCCTACATGAACATAACTGAGAACATATTCCACAGCGCACGACGGCCATCATGGGCATACCATTCAGCTCATTCCTATGTCAGTTTGTGGTCCATAAATTGTGCACGGTGCGTTAAATATTTACAGGTATTTATTTACAAATATTTAGCATCCTTACGAAACCTGGTATAGCTGGCATATTGCTGACTGCGGCCTAAAAGAACAAACAAAACAACAATCACTTACATGATTACGTATGGATTATGAAGGCCCAAGATGAAACACGCCAACAAGATACATCATTATTGGTACACAATACAAATAATGCCACAGAAAGATCCATATCTGGGGTTTTAAGAATTTTAATCCATGTTATAAGTCAGTTGAAATATTTCAATAGAAGAAGTAGCTTTACGTGGTATGACACTTATTGTCTCATATCTCGGTTCTGAAAGAGAGTTTGATACAGGCGGTCTTTAACCATCAAGATCTCCTATTTCAGTTGAGGAAGAGGGGCTTCATTGATATAGATGGCCTTGATCCCTCCAGCGGTATGAGGCAAGAAGCCATGAAGAAGAAGGTCTACAAGCAATACTATCTGGAGTTTATGGACGGCCACCATATTGACAGCATAGCAACAGGTTAGTTTCCCGTGTGATAAAAGATCCCGAGCACTCCATTTCTGTCCTTAGATTGAAACAATGTTGCACATGCTATCATCCCCTGTGTTGCCTGCCCAGACTCGGCCATTGCAAGGCAGCTAAACATGGACACTGCTGAGGCGTGAACCAACCTGCACTTATGTCACTACGTGTACACTGTATAGCGTGGAGAACGGGGTCCCAGTCTTATGTCACTACGTGTACACTGTATAGCGTGGAGAACGGGGTCCCAGTCTTATGTCACTACGTGTACACTGTATAGTGAGGAGAACGAGGTCCCAGTCTTATGTCACTACATTACACTGTAAAGTGTGGAGAACGGGGTCCCAGTCTTATGTTACTACATTACACTGTACAGTGAGGAGAACGAGGTCCCAGTCTCATGTTACTACATTACACTGTACAGTGTGGAGAACGAGGCCCCAGTTTTATGTTACTACATTACACTGTACAGTGAGGAGAACGAGGTCCCAGTCTTATGTTACAACAATATACACTGTACAGTGTGGAGAACGAGGCCCCAGTCTTATGTTGCTACATTACACTGTACAGTGAGGAGAACGGGGTCCCAGTCTTATGTTACTACAATATACACTGTACAGTGTGGAGAACGAGGCCCCAGTCTTATGTTACTACATTACACTGTACAGTGAGGAGAACGGGGTTCCAGTCTTATGTTACTACATTACACTGTACATTGAGGGGAACTGGGTCCCAGTCTTATGTTACTACATTACACTGTACAGTGTGGAGAACGGCGTTCCAGTCTTATGTTACTACATTACACTGTACAGTGAGGAGAACGGGGTTCCAGTCTTACGTTACTACATTACACTGTACATTGAGGGGAACGGGGCCCCAGTCTCATGTTACTACATTACACTGTACTGTGAGGAGAACGGGGTCCCAGTCTTATGTCACTACATTACACTGTACAGTGTGGAGAACGGCCTCCCAGTCTTATGTTACTACAATATACACTGTACAGTGTGGAGAACGAGGCCCCAGTCTTATGTTACTACATTACACTGTACAGTGAGGAGAACGGGGTTCCAGTCTTATGTTACTACAATATACACTGTACAGTGTGGAGAACGAGGCCCCAGTCTTATGTTACTACATTACACTGTACAGTGAGGAGAACGAGGCCCCAGTCTTATGTTACTACAATATACACTGTACAGTGTGGAGAACGGGGTCCCAGTCTTATGTTACTACATTACACTGTACAGTGAGGAGAACGAGGCCCCAGTCTTATGTTACTACAATATACACTGTACAGTGTGGAGAACGAGGCCCCAGTCTTATGTTACTACATTACACTGTACAGTGAGGGGAACGGGGCCCCAGTCTCATGTTACTACATTACACCTTTCTGTGAGGAGAACGGGGTCCCAGTCTTATGTCACTACATTACACTGTACAGTGTGGAGAACGGCGTCCAAGTCTTATGTTACTACAATATACACTGTACAGTGTGGAGAACGAGGCCCCAGTCTTATGTTACTACATTACACTGTACAGTGAGGAGAACGAGGCCCCAGTCTTATGTTACTACAATATACACTGTACAGTGTGGAGAACGGGGTCCCAGTCTTATGTTACTACATTACACTGTACAGTGAGGAGAACGGGGTTCCAGTCTTATGTTATAACATTACACTGTACATTGAGGGGAACGGGGCCCCAGTCTCATGTTACTACATTACACTGTACTGTGAGGAGAACGGGGTCCCAGTCTTATGTCACTACATTACACTGTACAGTGTGGAGAACGGCGTCCCAGTCTTATGTTACTACAATATACACTGTACAGTGTGGAGAACGAGGCCCCAGTTTTATGTTACTACATTACACTGCACATTCTGGGTAAGTGGGTCCTAGTGTTATGTTACTACTTGTACACTGTACATTGTGGGTAAGGGGGTCCTATGTTACTACTTGTACATTGTACATTGTGGGTAAGGGGGTCCTAGTCGTATGTTACTACGTGTACACTGTACATTGTGGGTAAGGGTGTCCTAGTGTTATGTTACTACTTGTACACTGTACATTGTGGTTAAGGTGGTCCTAGTGTTATGTTACTACTTGTACACTGTACATTGTGGGTAAGGGGGTCATAGTCTTATGTTACTACATGTACACTGTACATTGTGGGTAAGGGGGTCCTGGTCTTATGTTACTATATTACACTGTACATTGTGGGTAAGGGGGTCCTAGTGTTATCTTACTACCTGTACTCTGTACATTGTGGGTAAGGGGGTCCTAGTGTTATGTTACTACATGTACACTGTACATTGTGGGTAAGGGGGTCCTGGTCTTATGTTACTACTTTGTACACTGTACATTGTGGGTAAGGGGGTCCTAGTGTTATGTTACTACTTGTACACTGTACATTGTGGGTAAGGGGGTCCTAGTGTTATGTTACTACTTGTACACTGTACATTGTTGGTAAGGGGGTCCTAGTCTTATGTTACTACTTGTACACTGTACATTGTGGGTAAGGGGGTCCTAGTGTTATGTTACTACCTGTACTCTGTACATTGTGGGTAAGGGGGTCCTAGTGTTATGTTACTACCTGTACACTGTACATTGTGGTTAAGGGGGTCCTAGACTTATGTTACTACTTGTACACTGTACATTGTGGGTAAGGGGGTCCTATGTTACTACTTGTACACTGTACATTGTGGGTAAGGGGGTCCTAGTGTTATGTTACTACTTCGTACACTGTACATTGTGGGTAAGGGTGTCCTAGTGTTATGTTACTACCTGTACACTGTACATTGTGGGTAAGGGGGTCCTAGTCTTATGTTACTACTTGTACACTGTACATTGTGGGTAAGGGGGTCCTATGCTACTACTTGTACACTGTACATTGTGGGGAAGGGGGTCCTATGTTACTACTTGTACACTGTACATTGTGGGTAAGGGGGTCCTATGTTACTACTTGTACACTGTACATTGTGGGTAAGGGGGTCCTATGTAACTACTTGTACACTGTACATTGTGGGTAAGGGGGTCCTAGTCGTATGTTACAACGTGTAAACTGTACATTGTGGGTAAGGGGGTCCTAGTCTTATGTTACTACTTGTACACTGTACATTGTGGGTAAGGCGGACCTAGTGTTATGTTACTACTTGTACACTGTACATTGTAGGTAAGGGTGTCCTAGTGTTATGTTACATCGTGTAAACTGTACATTGTTGGTAAGGGGGTCCTATGTTACTACAAGTACACTGTACATTGTGGGTAAGGGGGTCCTAGTCTTATGTTACTACATGTAAACTGTAGATTGTGGGTAAGGCGGTCCTATGTTACTTCTTGTACACTGTACATTATGGGTAAGGGTGTCCTAGTCTTATGTTACTACGGGTACACTGTACATTTTGGGTAAGGGTGGCCTAGTCTTGTGTTACTACGTGTACACTGTACATTATGGGTAAGGGTGTCCTAGTCTTATGTTACTACATGTACACTGTACATTGTGCGTAAGGGGGTCCTAGTCTTATGTTACAACATGTACACTGTACATTGTGGGTATGGGGGTCCTAGTTTAATGTTACTGCATGTACACTGTACATTGTGGGTAAGGGGGTCCTAGTCTTATGTTACTACATGTACACTGTACATTGTGGGTAAGGAGGTCCTAGTGTTTTGTTAATACATGTACACTGTAAATTGTGGGTAAGGGGGTCCGAGTCTTATGTTACTACTTGTACACTGTACATTGTGGGTAGGGTGGGCTTATGTTACTACTTGTACACTGTACATTGTGGGTACGGCGGTCCTAATCGTATGTTACTACATGTACACTGTACATTGTGGGTAAGGTGGTCCTAGTCTTATGTTACTACATGCACACTGTACATTGTGGGTAAGGGGTTCCTAGTCTAATGTTACTACATATACACTGTACATTGTGGGTAAAGGGTCCTAGTCTTATGTTACTACTTGTACATTGTACATTGTGGGTAAAGGGTCCTAGTCTTATGTTACTACTTGTACATTGTACATTGTGGGTAAGGGGGTCCTAGTCTTATGTTACTACGTGTACACTGTACATTGTGGGTAAGGGGGTCCTTGACTTATGAATCTAAGTGTACACTGTACATTGTGGGTAAGGTGGTCCTAGTCGTATGTTACTACATGTACACTGTACATTTTGGGCAAGGGGGTCCTAGTCTTATGTTACTACATGTACACTGTACATTGTGGGTAAGGTGGTCCTAGTCGTATGATTCTACATGTACACTGTACATTGTTGTTAAGGGGGTCCTAGTCTTATGTTACTACATGTACACTGTACATTGTGTGTAAGGGGGTCCTAGTCTTATGTTACTACAAGTACACTGTACATTATGGGTAAGGGGGTCCTAGTCGTATGATTCTATGTGTACACTGTACATTGTGGGTAAGGTGGTCCTAGTCGTATGTTACTACATGTACACTGTACATTGTGGGCAAGGGGGTACTAGTCTTATGTTACTACATGTACACTGTACATTGTGGGTAAGGTGGTCCTAGTCGTATGATTCTACATGTACACTGTACTTTGTGGGTAAGGGGGTCCTAGTCTTATGTTACTACAAGAACACTGTACATTGTGGGTAAGGGGGTCCTAGTCTAAAGTTACTGCATATACACTGTACATTGTGGGTATGGGGGTCCTAGTCGTATGATTCTACGTGTACACTGTACATTGTTGGTAAGGGGGTCCTAGTCTTATGTTACTACATGTACACTGTACATTGTGGGTAAGGGGGTCCTAGTCTAATGTTACTGCATGTACACTGTACATTGTGGGTAAGGGGGTCCTAGTCTTTTGTTAATACATGTACACTGTACATTGTGGGTAAGGCGGTCTTATGTTACTACTTGTACACTGTACATTGTGGGTAAGGCGGTCCTAATCATATGTTACTACATGTACACTGTACATTGTGGGTAAGGGGGTCCTAGTCTTATGTTACTACATATAC